TTAGGTAAAAAAATTTATGTAACTCCCATATCATTAATTGGGAGTTACAAAATCAAAAAATTCTATGATTTTTGTTAATATAAAACCATATGAACACACACTATATACATATGAACCATTGTGTCAAATACGAACAAAAAATCGACATATATATGAACTTTGGTTGCATATCATTTATGAACACAATATGAAAATAATAAGAATAACTGCTATACGAAAGAAAATAAATAAAAAAAAACATGTATGAACACGATATGAACAGCTTGTGAACAATAGTTCCTTCATTATAAACATATTCAGGAGCGATCATTTGTCAATTGGAGTTTTATACATGMATTGCATCCACGYCGTTTAAGGTTCACCCCTTGTTCATATATGTTTCTGGTCTTATGTGGTTGTTCACCCCTTGTTCATATCGTGTTCACCCTTGTTCATATCGTATAAAATATATGAACACAAAACTCTGACGTTATAAACACCGGGTGCAAACACTTACACAAATATAAAGATTTGGTATCAAGCTTAAAAAATAACACTTGTGTTCATATGATATAAGTAATATGAAAACAATGGTTTATGATTCATACAAGTCGGTAATATGACAATATGAAAATGAGTCGTGCATGTACTTCCATTTGAACATGTGAATTAGATACGTATTAATAATTAAAGAAAAAAGTTTTCAACACAATATGAACTACAAGAAACACAACACATCATAATAAACATAATTTCGATTAAAACGAGTTTAATAAAATATTAATCCATTACCAAGACATTCACTTTGGTTAATTTCTTCACTTCCCGAACTCGAACTCCAATTGTCACCATAAACCATTTTTATCTTCTCAATGTTGTCGATTTTTTTTCCAATGTATTTATCCATAATAGCTTGAACGATACCGAAAATTTTACTACCGTGTTTCCTCCACGAATCAAAAACTCACAAAACAATAAAAATGGAAGATCAAGAATAAAAAAATAAATAAAAATATCAATATTATAAATGTATATTTTTAGGAATTTTATGATTTTGTAACTCCTCTTTAATGGTATGGGAGTTACATAGCAAATGAAATGACTCAATTACCCTTGACATTAAATTGTGAACATGATAGATACCTAATAGAATAATGGATTGTGATTGGTTGACATAGTATGCAAAGTTAACACAAATTTTTTTGTTAACATTTGATCTTGTCCCTATATATATATATATATATATATATATATATATATATAAAGAGAGAGAAGGTTTACTTTATAAACCATGTTATTATTCGTACAAACCTTACAAACCTCATTTAACCAATCATAATTTTTTATTTTGTTTATTTTTTTGTAATTATAAGAGATTGATTAATCATTTTTATTGTAGAGTGTGTTAATCATGAATATTATCATCATCGTTATTTTAATTTTAGAGAAATACATTAAACAGTTTCATTAAATATTATATGAAACAATTTCATAACCATATATGAAACAACTTCATCAAAAAAAGTATTATATGAAACAAATTCACAAGATTAAACAATTTAATGAAGTTTTTTCATAAGATTAAACAATGAAATCGACGGATGAGGGTCGTTTGCAAGGTTTATACAAATTGGGTTGTTTGCATTTGATCGCTCTTATACACACACACACACTATATTATAAAGCATTTGACAAAAAACTCTTAAAAAACCATTTTTATGCATGAAGTACTATTTATTGATGCATATTACTTAATATGCAAGATCACAAGTAATTTTACGTAAGTACAATTTACTAAAGCTCTATTTTTAAATTTGTGTAACTAACTGCAGATAAATATAATCAAATACGGGATAAACATCCATTTTAAATATAGAAAATCTAAAATATAATTAAAATAATTATTGAGTTCTAACAAAATCTTTAGTTATTATCTTTATAAAAAATTATACTATTAAATCAAAAATAAATTACTTTGTTATTAAATTTAAATTGAATTATAATAAAAAATTAAATTAAAGAAGATACACAAAAAAAGAGAATTATTAAATAGTTAATTTGTACTAATATCGATTTAATTTTTTCAAATTTTTATTCTATCTTCAAATTTATATTTCATTCAGAAATAAAAATATTATCGTTTTCTCAAAACCACATAAAATCGTATTATATCGATAGAGACAGAATAAAAACTGAATGTTAAAATCGAATGAAAATATGTTGTTTTAGTTATTAAACTTTAATTAATAAAAAGAATTAAAAAAAAATAAGTTGACACAGTACGGGATTATTATAGTACACGATTTTAAATATCATGTATTGATCAATTAAATTGATACAATTATCTTGATACAAATTTTACCCTTGAAAAAGCTAATGTGAATTAATATACTGAGGGTTGACCTTTGATGGAGAATACATCCAAAACCGAGCAACTTTGACTATACGTTCGAGGCTTGCTTATGATGAACCAAGCGATGATCGATAGTTTCGACTTTATACCCACATCGAATGAAACCGTAATCTTGTCTTGCTTTAGTTTCGATGAAATGAGGTGTAGATTGAAGAGAACTTGTATCTCCTAAGCCTTTGATCAAGAGCATCTCATCGTCACCCGAGAACTGCTGTAACTTTTAATTACATTCCATACTTTTTTCGTAAATGAGTTTGTACCAGGGCCGGCCTTGGCCATGTGCAGTCCGTGCGGCTGCACAGGGCATCAAAGCCTAAAGGGGCGTCAAATTGTCATTTATTACTAGTTTTGGGTTTAATAATTTGGGAATTGGACAATTAAACTCTAACTATAAAAACAGGCTCAAGGCCTAGTAGTGATGAATATTGAATGCACATTGTGAACCAGTTAACGCCATCATTTCAACAACTCAATCTAAGTTATATTGTTCTTCAAAATTCGACTATTTTGATTTCAAGACATAGTGTTCTCTTTCCAGTCGATTAGCAGTCATGAAATTAGATTCAAGAAATTAAAGATGAAAATCTCGAATGACTGATTTTCTACTATTGATTGAACTTACCGAGTTGTTGTGTGAGTCATATTATGATTTATGAATCTTTAATTCTTTTTGAAAAAAAAATCTAAATTTCAACCGAATATTATAAAGTAGGGTCATGTGGTCGTGTGGGTTACTGACCTACTAGGCTAAGGCTAAGGCTAAGGGGCTTTTGTTATTTTGATAATGAGTGTTCCTCTTGCATATTGAAATATCTGAGAATTAAATTTTCAATGCACATGAGCACATCACTGTATCAACATAGTTGAAGCACACTGTATCAACATAACTGGAGCACACTACATAAAATTAACAACATATTGTGATATTATCTTAATTATTGGGCACTTGTTCTTTGCAATACACAGTAACATAGATTATGAATTTTACAATTTATTATTGTTATTTTGACTTTTATTTACTTTGAGGTTTGGCATTACCGCATTAGATTTAGGGGCCGTTTGATTGTTTATTTATTAAGTTCTGTATGGATAAAGTTGTCAGTATAATTTAATCTGTTTGTATAAGTTGGAACAGTTTTTGTTTGTGAGAGTTTTTTCGCAGATGTAAGGAGCGTTTTTTTAGTTAGGAGGGACATGTTTGGAAAAAAAAACCTGGCTTTCTATATAAAGCTCCCCTAGAAACTTACTGAACAAGTTCTTCTCTATATCATTAAGCCTCTACGAGATAATCATGTATAGTTGAGCGAATAAGTTGTTAGTTCCATTAAGCTTATTAAGCTGCTAACAGTTAGACCCTTAGCCTTTAGTCATTAGACCTGTAACTTTTGAGTTTTACTTTTTGCTTACTATGACAGTAATTTGGATGTAATTTACTATTTTAGTTAAAAAATAATTATAGTTTTCCTTGTCTTTTAAGTCTCATATATTGAAATAAATTTTATATTTTGTTAATTTCAATTTGGAAAAAGGAAACTTGGAAAAGAAGGAAGCATGATATTAATCCAGGATTTATGCTTTTATCATTCTATATATTGTAATCGGGGTTTTGGTTTTTATGTTCTCCCCCCCCTCCCCCCCCAAATTGTATTTTTATTTATTATAATTAATAAAAATCAACATGTAAATGAGACACTTGCTTAAATAGGTTCTAAAGTTTTTAAAAAATCGCATGTTCCGTTGTTTTATTGGCATAAAAAATAGTCTTAAAAGGGTATTTTTTTTAATTATTTTCGCACAGGACATCAAAAATCTTAGGACCAGTCCTGGTTTGTATGACTTTTAATTTAATTTTTAAGCAGAAACTAGAGCAACATTTAATATATTATAAACATACAAAAACAAAAAAAAAATGTTTAAGACCCGTGATTTATGGGCACATTTTTGAAATTGATGTATTATTATGAGCCCGAAACGCATCAGGTCATAGTGGTATGGACGAGTTTTATAGAGAAAAGTGACACCGGTAACGAAACAAAATCCCGCTACCAGGTCGCGGGAGAAGTCATGCAACTCTTTGTTTCAGCAAAAGAGCTTTGTGGACGAGGGCGACTTGTCCTGCGAAATGAAAACAGAAGTTGGCAGGCATGACCAACGAAGTTGCCAAATATAGAAAGTTGAAATCTAGTAAACATTGGTAGCAAAGCCATATCTGAAATCCCAATCCAAAAAGCACTGCTAAAAATAACCAACAAAACGTAGAAACAGAATCACTCTTTCAGAAAGAAAATAAAAAAGAAAATAAAAACCAAGTTTTCTTATCAAAGGGTTACAACCTCACTTGTTGACATACGTTATTACAACCCAATAMTAMTTCAATTCATTCACTGCCCGTTCGATGGTCGGTATACTGTGTAACCATTCACACCCATCGTCAAGTTCGAATAATCTGGCGCCATGTGATACGGATACCCCTCACCATCCATGTTTCTCAACCCATAAGAAAGATCCGACCCACCAATCTGCCATTGGTTCTGAATCAATCCCTCAATCTGTCCGTTCACGTAAGGCGGCTGCAAATTCGGCTGCGGCAGAATCATCTCTCGAGAGAAGTCGAAATATGCATGTTGGAACTCTTCATGATAACTCCGAGTTCGTTCAAACCTGCACGAGCTTGTTGACGGACCCTGATCAACCGAACCAMCGCCACCCATATCCCCCGGGAAACTCAACTGATTAAAGGCTTGTTTTGGTATAAAGATTCAATCCTATTATTGATTATGAATGCCCTATATATAGGGAAGAATACAAGCTACAAATCAGGAAAAGATATACATATAAAATACAAGATTATCTCTAAATAAATGGTGAATATCTATTCCTAAATATAGGAGATAATCGGTTGGCTAAGACTGATGACTCAGATGGTGGGGCCCRTTGCGAAACGACGGCGGGCCCACGGGCATTGCGTACTCGTCGTCGAGTAAATCGTTGATGATGTCGAGATGCGGGAATTCATCGGCCAATGGACCTTGAGCCTGGGGTCTGCTGTGAATCGGCTTGTAAACATCGATATTTTGGATGTCGTTAAGTGATTGCAAGCCTCTGCTGCTGCTACCACCATTATCCCTTTCCATCCATTGAGACCCATTTTGCAAAACAACATCATGATTCATCATTCCAAAGGAAAAGCTTGGTCTCACAGAATCCATCCTTTCAGAACTTTGAGGTAAAAACATGGGCTGCGAATACGAGTTTACCGTCGGTTTCGGAGAATGGGATTGACCGAAAGCAGATGAAGTTGCGGAAATTGGACTCCCCATCATAGCATTTCGATACGACGGAGGACCGTAATTCTGAGCCATGGGTGACGGTTCAGGACAAAGATACCCGGCTGCACTTGCTGACCGAGATAGCAATGGTGTGGTTTGGACCATCGAGATAACAGGTGCGGTACTGGTGGCATTCGCTCTAGATGCTTCAACTAGAGGAGCACTCAATGGCCTAGACATGGCAGGAACCGGCCTAGCTGACGGTGCACCAGACACTTGCTGTACTGGAGCCTTTTCTGCTGGCCTCAAAACTTGATGAACGACATTCGTGGATTTCTGAGTGGGGGCAGGTCCTTGGTGAACTATCGAAGGCTTTTCCGCTGGTTTCTGGGTCCCAGTGTTATGAGTGTAGGGTTTCGATAAGACCGAACCTTCGGTTGAGATCGATGGGACCACGGTGTTTTGGGGGTTCTCGGAAAGTTTTCTGGCGACACCAGAATCAGAGCCTGCACTCTTTCTGAGCTCGGACTTCTGAAGGGCTCTTGGAGAGGCTTTTGAAGGGCTTTTGGGTGAGGATGGTGTAACAGCCATCTTTTCCTTCGAATTTTTCTCGGATTCAACCTCATCCTTGATGTTTAGCTTTTTTTGCAATGAAACAACTTCTTCCTATCGTTAAGAAACACCATATAGATCAAGTCAAAAGGAATAAGATATATATCCTCAAAGGGAATAGAACTTTAGATAATTGAACCTTAACAATCTTAAAATGATCCCACATGTGAATATAAAATCAACAACTCATCCCCGTGAGAAAAGGAAACGGTATACTACCTCTGTCCCAAAATAAGTGTGCACATTTCTGTTTTCTTTTATCCAAAATAAGGGTCAACTTTCAAAAGTGCCTACTTCCCAATTCTACCCTCAAATATGAGACAAATTTATTACTCCCTCTATTATTAAGGGTAAAATTGCCATTCAATTATTAAAAAGTATAATACTTACACATTTCTTAAACTATGTGCCTTCTTTATTGTGGGCATTTACTTTGGGACAAAAGGAGTAAGAAAGAGAGTGGTTTTGTACAAATTATGAAAATGTAAATGCAAAAAGAACCATCTCAATAGGCATCTTCTGAACGTCGAGCAAAGAAGAGGCCAAAAAAAGTGTTCTAACCAAACCAATCAAGCCCAATATATCCCACCCAATGGCGGAGTTGGGGGAGTAAGAGGTAGGTCGACCTATCCTCTATTCAGACCAAAAAAGCATTCTCCTTTGCCCAAAATAATAAGAGAAGTGTTCCCTATGCAAAATCACACGTTTCTTGCGAAGAAAGGTGTTCTCTTTGCCCTTTATAAGAGTAATAGTTTTATTTTGCAATAAAAACCCAAGTATGATGGTTCAATCAGTCGATCACACTATTTAAAACAGTTACCAAAAATAATGAGAGAAGACACAAAAGGGTTTTTGAGGGAGAAAACCATAACCAATTGACGTTCAAATAAAACAAGAGATGAAAGAAGTGTTCTAAATGGACAAATAATATCATCATAATAGAGGAAATAGTATGATACCACTTTCTTGACGACATCTTGAGCAAGCCACTTCATCTTATCCTGCAACAAGAGTGCAGCAGGCACATCACACTCTGGTTCATCACTTGGCTGTGTTGATTCAGACATAACAACATCAGATGGTTGTTTCTGCATATTGCTGACCCCTCCACTAACTTCACCAGTACCCTTTCCTCTCTTCACTTTCCCTCTGCATAATATAAGAAACCACATGTAATGCATAAACCAACACTTCCCACCAACAAAAGCATTGATGTATATACACACATATATTCTTATGAAAATGAGCAACCTGCTAGGTGAACTTTGGGTTTTTTGATTCTGATGTGAATTCCCTCTGTAACGGCCACTGATCACCACTGATGGGAGTGAATCTGTCGAACACGTGGACGAACTATCATCCATCACAGACGGACTCTTCCTCTCTCCATTTTGAGCAGCAGAAAGGCCACTAATAGTACCACTACTACAGGCTTCTGTGGGAGGATGAGGTTCAGACGTGTCGGTATCCCAGTTAACAGGGCTTGAATCTCTATCATCTGAATCAGGCCGAAGAAGTGCCTCCTCAGTTACACAATCCACTGAATCTGAAACATCAGAAACATCCTCAGGTGTATCAGTTTTTTTAAGTAACTCTGCATCCTCAATCAGGAAGCCTTTCCTTTCATCTGTTGGGCTCTGTTGTTGAGGTTTCTCCTCTATTGCAATGCCAGCTTTTTCTTCCCTTACTTTATCCTTTGATTTCCGATTGTTTCTTTTCTGCTTCCCCTGTGTTGATGAAAGAAATCAAAAATTACATGGATCAAAAAGAAAAATTGCAAGAACCCCATGAACTAAGCTCAAATATGAGCTAATCTTATAAGTATGAAACACAGTGTAACAATCCTATAACTAAAAAGCAAGCCCTTGAGCATAAGAACTTGAGAGCCCGTAGCAAACCCATAAAACCTCTCTTCTTAACTCGGACTAATATTCATACAAACCTGTTTTTTCTTTGATTTCTTTTCCTTTTCAGATGCACCACGTTTTGCTTTCTGTTCACTGCCAGCCATCCATGCTTCCTCTTCTTCACGTATGAGCTCCTCTTGCCTTTTCAAAGCAACTGCCTCCTGGTATGCAACTTCTATTTTACTGCTGTACCAAATCGGTAGTAAGAATACTTGTAATAGAGGAACCATAAAATTGCGAAAAGATTAATTATCCAGAACCATGAAATTCAACAAAAAAAAATTCAAATTAACAGTCAAATACTAGTTCCAAAATGCATACTAAATTGATCAGCTAGACATAGAAAGAATTAGAAATGACCAAATCCAATTTCCTTCAACATAGAAAATGATTTTATATATGAAACTGTCATATTCCTTTCAGTCTTCATACTCTCTAATCCTTCATAAACAGTATCAGATTATTACCTGAATATATGCGCTAGGACAAATATTTCGATGGTTCTACGTCCCAATTCAGTGAGGCGCCTTTCATCACGCTCAATAGAATCCTTGCTGAAATCCTCCCCCGAGCCACCATCCTTAGCACAGCAAAAGAGACCATGAGATTATTGATAAAGGTGAATGGCTTCATAATCGAAATAATTGTTTGCAGAAAAGTTTGACATTAATAAAAGATGAATGAAAAAGATATTGATAAAAGAAGCTCCCTTGGGTAGCTTCACTTGGTTTGTCATAGGACACACATAAATTTATCTTATACCTTTTAAGGTAGAGATAAATTTTATTAAAATCTCAACTATACTTATGCATTCTGCACTGCCTCAAAACATAACAAACTTTTAGCAAATTTTAGAAACAAAAATTATCTTGAATGATAAAATCAATAGATTTTGAGAAATTAAACTTATAAACCTTTAACATGATCTTATCTTGAAGGCTACTTGTTTTAACCCTTGAACTATACAAGATTTTGTTCAAACTATATGCTCACCTTAGTACGGTTCTGTGGACCTTTTTCATCCTTTGGAGGCAATGGTTCCAAGGCCGCCCTTTCAAGCAATAGCAATACATCATCAACCAGAATAAATGTGTCACTCTCCATCCGCACAACGGGTATCGGTAGTTCTTCTGAATCGCATTTTCCTTTGGCCTTCTTGCTCTTGGTCTGGCCTTCAAGAGCCTTTAATCCACTATATAAGGAGTCCATTACCAAAGTTGATGTCACTTCCTTTTCTATAAAGAAGTGCTTTACAACAACTTTCAATATCGAATCCGACTTCTCCCTTGACATGCGGCGCCTAGAATTTTGATCGATTCCCAACCAGAAATTACAGAAACTGAAACATGGGAAAAGAAAGTTAACTGTCACCAACTCTTCCTATTGAAGAGACAACACGTATCGTACTTGCATACCTTGACCATCTAACTTTATCTTCTATCAACTTCCCAAGCCTTCCTCTTCTCTCTTCCACAAAGCGGCGACATATTTGCTCTACATTTGACAAATACACCCTAACAAGTTCTCTCCTATATTGACAGTCAAGGCATCGAAATGGACGATCTGCTCTCTCCCTACAAAACCATGAAAGCAAGCAAATGTTAGCATTTGTTATCAAACATGTTACCAAGTTCAAGCAAAAGTTAGCACAAATAAACCATTGTAAAAGACGTAAATTTTATCCTAGCAAGAGAGAGAGAGAGAGAAAGAGAAAATAACTAAGGGGTAACATGCTACTTCAAAATGACACACAATCATACAAGACAACGCGAAAAGCTACACACAAACCAAATTATTTTTGAGATAATTAATGCAAGTCATAAAAGTGAGCTAATGTCGCATGAAGAAATGGTTAGACACCCTGAAATGTAAGATAGAGAATGGAAATATGTTCAAATATTGTTGCACGATAACAACAAAAGAACACTAAATATGTTACAATGCCAATACCCAATATGTACATCAAGGATTCATATTGAATGTTATCCAATATTTTGTAGTACCCCTACGGCCTTACCATCAACAATCTGTGAAGATTTTACAGCAAAGTGAACCCCCATAATTACCAAAATGTTGGTTAAATAAAAAAAATACAAGAGAGCATGAAATTTGTAAACATGGTTTATCAAGGTGATTTTGAGATATCACAAAGGTACATTTGAAGTCATCCAAAAATCAAATGTTTCATCGATCACAATAACAACAAATCTTTTATCAAAACTACACTGGTTGGGTAGTCAAAATGCAACCAATGAAGTATAAGGCATGAAACCCAATAGAAAACATATAGAAGAACCCCTAGTCATGCAGCATGAATTACATCCTAACGCAACTCCGGTACTTGTGCAAATTTGTTTCCACTACCTCCCCACATGTCAATCTTCGTCAAAAAGAAGCAAGTGCAAAAAACAAAAACAGACATATGCTTGGGTACGGCCTCTAGAAAATGATAAAAATCAGGGACAAGGTATGCATGTTGTACAATATATATATATATATATATATGCATACATATATATATATATATATCATATGCTGAAAAAAGTAAAACATAAATTGAACAGAAGACCAAGTGTAGAAACCTTTGGTTTCATACCAATAACCTATCAGAACTAGTTATATTAAAATTATTTAATAAAATATGCATATTGGATATAAATGGACTGATCATCATTATATAAAAGAAATAAAACATCCGCATACAGAAAAATTAGTCATATCATGATCAGATTAGTGAAATGTGAATGCTGAGCTCAATATTAGGAATGACAAAATTTGAGCAGGGTTGGGGTCAATACATAAGAAAATGAAAGAACACTATTGAGATGGTTGACCATTTCCTACACAACTTTCCAATGCAACGGGTGAGAATGGGAGGGAATTACGGATGTAGCGGCAGGCCAAAATTTTATAAGGAGTACCATTTGACCAATCAAATTATACCACCAGTTAAATCCAGAAAGGTAGTTACGATATAACCATGAAATGCCTCAAGTCAATGTATCACATGTAGACTAAATACCACATGAAACAAGGGTAGGGTGTTACATCCCATGACGCTACAAGCCAGATAGGCATATGAGATATACATAAACTCTATAAAAAATGAGCCTCAAACAACATAAACTGATTTCCCAACTCTTTCCTCACTAAACATGCACCAAATCATCAAACATTCAGAAGGGTGGTAAGGTTTTAACATAAAGGATATCACAACAAGCCAACCACACCACGAGCTCCCAAATATACTTATCTAGTAAAACCTACTATCTATGAAATGAGGGTAGGGTGTTACCTAACACAATCAAGCAATATCACTAATAAAACACAATTGGCAGTTCATTTCTTACATGGCCAAAATTACTTTCCAATCAAAAATACAAAATGGGATATTTTCAAACCATACTACACCTTTCTAATACATCTCAAGTCAAATTCCTTTTAACTTTAGGCTTTAACTACTTCATCATCTAGCTCCTTTAACAGATACAATTAAACAATAAATGTCCATCTCTTGCTAAATTTATCCAATGAAACGCTTGCATTTAAGAAAATTTCTGTGTGACAATTCTTATTGATCATACCATATAAATCCACAAATCATATTGTGTCCATTTTTGTGATATCTTGGTACTCAACCTAATACTACTGACAAGAACTACAATACAAAGCTTGGTGCATCTTGTGATATTTCATATTTCAGTACTCTGACAGTCTTGACTTAAAAAAATGGAGTACCAGAAGATAACTTCAATGGACCATAAGGCTACAGATAGAATATCAGACAAGTTTGTCAATTGTTGGTGCTCTAATAAGTTTTTTTCTCCTAGAACTTCTCTGCTAGCAATCAGTCAGTCAACCTAAGTAATATGACAAGAGTTACCTACATCCAAGTTGCTAGCTTTCTAGACCAACTTTTGTGAACTACCAATCAATGAATTGATATCATTGCAGCTCAAGATTCCTTAAAAGAAGAAAAAGGGCGATTGGAAATAAAGAAAAAAAAATTGTTGGGTCCTTCAAGGCAACAAGCTGAGCGACTACAAATAAAAACCTTAGGAGTATGAGCTCCTGATTCCTGAGAAACCAACAAAAACCACATAAATTGGGTAAAACATGATACCTTAGGACTCAAGAAGGTATGGGTAAGGGGAGAAGAGATGACTTCAGCCAAGCCTCCCAACATGCACAAAAGGCAGTCAGTCAATCCAAATCATCTAATCATGACCCCTCCAGAAGTGGCTACATTACATGCCAGAAACAAGTAAAAGCCCATCTAATACATGAGTGAGCAGCAAGCACCTTGTAATCTTAATAAGAAGGTAACAGAACTCAATAACCAACCTGAAGCACAACCAACTAACATAATGAAGAACAATAGCCATAAACCTCTAAGAACAAAAGAAAACTACAAATATAGGATGAGTTTTATACTGCAAAAGCCAAAATCAACAGCAAACCTTCCATCCTAAACCTATTGGGGTAGGCCAAAAATCAAACCAAAAGATATTATAGAAGGCAAAACCCCAAAGCAAACATGACAAGGTAAACGCTACCATTGTGAAGCATGAATAGTCCCTCTACGCACTCCTACATAAGGTCAACTGGTAAGGCATACTGCATTTATGCAATATCCCTCCACTCTTTCCCATGTCAATCTTGACTTCCTCGTGGCACAAGTCTCCCCGTAATGTTGCATTCAAAGGACTATGGTGAAGATGACCAAACAACCTCAAGAGTGTTGCCTCAACTTCTCTGTGTGTGCCACCACAATCTTCTTTGTATATCTTGGTTTCTAATTATGCCACCTGCTGTGTGGCCACACTTCCACCTCAATATTCACATTTTTGCATCTTCCATGTGTGTGTTTTTACAAGCCCAACATTTTGCCACATAAATAATAACAGGCATTACCCCTAGCATATAGAAATTATATTTCAATTTTAATAGAATTTCTTGATCACACAAGAGCCCTAAGGCTTTGTCCTCATCTCAACCACCCTGCTACTAGTGTATCACTAGCATTGTGAACAATCTCTACAGATTCATTAAAAACTAATCTCAAAAGACAGAAGGCATAAAGAGGTCACCCAACTATACCATCGTGTTTTCTTTATTTGTTTTGAAGTTCAAAAGTCAATTAGAATGCAGCAAAAATCAAAAGTAAGATTGGTTCCATCTTCAAAAGGTCACCTAATTTCCGGTGCAAGTGGGATGCGTAGTACTGGTATAATGTGCGGTAAGAGTACAGAGCAATAACTTAATATATCTCTACATAGTTCTACTCAAGTACAAGTACATATGTCACGTAAATGCGAAAGAAAATATTATAGAAGGTGGGTAATCTTAATATTATTAATATGCTGTTAATTGCAGTGCTATAGCGGCGGGGAATAGCAGTTCCGCTAATATTGGCGCTAAACAAACGATTGGGCTGCGATTTTGATTTGTAATATCAGTGTGAAAACTTGCTATTCCTCCCTCGTCTGATCTTCTCTTCTGGTCTAGCATTGTGCATCGTTTCTGCTCTTCGTTGACATCAACATTATCTTCCAAAAGTCATCTCTTCAATTCACGTGTTCTTCTGTTTGTCTTCAATATATATAATATGTACTATGTATATATATATATATATGTATATTATATAAATGTGTTATATATATCCGTTATTTTTGGACATTATACCACCGCTTCACCATTATGATAACTGCTATATCAAATCACGGTCCTGACTGCTTTTCAGATTTTGACCGATGTAACAGCATACGCATAGTAAATATAAAACAACCTAATCAAGCTAAATTTGTGGGACCAACTTTTATTCTACTTCCATAAAGAATGGAGCATTAATTGCTCAAATATGTAATGATCAAAATAGATGTCAATTGCTTTTCGCGTTTCTATTCACACCCTCACTCTTCCTCTGGCCACAATGATCAGAGCAAAGTGAAAAGGCGTAACAATGCTTTAATGGTACAAAACTACATATAAATATATAAAAACAAATTTGAACCAAATGCTTTTCGCTATTCATGTTTCTACCATTCTTGCTGAGTTTCATGGACTTAGTTCTTGAAAAAGTTTGGTATGAGAATGCACTATGATTTGGTTCATAAATACTGCACCTGCATGCAAGAGAAGATAACTAGATAAGGACCAATGAAGTTATAAACTCAACAAGCAAGAAACCTGATAACTTGGACTTGAGCTTTTATTATGAGGGTGTCCGCATCAACAAACCCATCTAACACTTTCGATAACTCCATAAACTTTTTCCATCCCCAATCATGCTCTTTCTTCCAGAAGCGATGCAGTGTATCTGCAAACATATATTTAGTCAATTACAACACTTGAACCATCATTAACCAACCAGAATAGATAACCCAACAAGAACAATAATAATGATGACAATAATAGTGATGAGATAAAGAACCAACCAGAATATTTTGATTTCTTGGGGTCTTTATTCACCACAGCTATTGTGAATTGTGCAAAATGACTCCAACCTGCTTCAGTTAAAGTAAGTCACTTGAAATTAATTTAAGCAACATAAAGAAAATTAAAACCCCAACGTTCAACCAACATACCTGGAAGAAGCTTGTCATGATTCGCAACACAAAGAAATAAAGACAGATGATTGCAGACATCACACCCCTGGGGGTAGATCAAGATGTACCTATAAGCCATAGCAAAAAAAAAGTTAAATAGAGATGAATTGCAGCAGTTAAATGTATCCTAATGCGAACGATTTGCACATATCATGAGTACGCCATCAAATTTGCACATAAAGATGGCTTGGGCAATATTGTTGTCTAGAACAGAACAGCCATAAGTTTTTCCCAATCAAGAACATAAATGCCGTAAAAGAGAGTGGAAATGCGAAACAAGTGATGCAACGAAAAACAGAAATGCAATAGAAAATAAATATAGCTGATAGAACTCACAAAGATAAAAGAACACATACCATTTGTAGCCGCCAACCTCAAACGCATTACTACGAAGTTCTCTCTTGTTAATCTGTGAGAATTTGTCTATCTTCCATGTATATTTTCCATATAGCTCAGAAGGTTTTGGTCCTGCATTTTGATAAAATTGGTATTAGAAAGAACGGTGTGTACAAAATTCTGGGACTCAAATGAAATCTAATGTGCAAGGGGGGGGGGGGGGGGGGGGGAAGCCCGCAAGTGCACGAACATATTTATCCAAGTATTCTACAGCAATTGTGTTAAAAAATTAAACATGTATCAATTGTCTTAATACTGCCCTAACATTACATCAAATATTATGTTACATGTTTATCTTTCTATGGCTATCATGCTTCATTTCGGTTACAAACCTCATACAAAAGCCTAAACAGGAATAGAAGTAATTTAATAGGTTACCTATAATGAATAAGAACATATGTAGATTTCAAAAGTTCAGCTTGCTGCAACCAATGACATAAATATATATCTTTCAGAAGAAACTTAAGACAGAGAGTGGGAGAGTAAGAAGACTAATAAAAATACACTACCACAATGAAGAATATGATTCATCAAGTCAATTGAAGACCGTGGCCTGTGAGAAAGAGAATCATTTTTTTGCTTTCTGAAAAAGAAGTCAGATTCCTAATAAAAGTTCCTTTACAAACACACTCTGCCCAACCAGACAAGTTACTGAAAAATATTAGTTTCTGCCGATTCTACCTTATACATATGCAAACTCTACCTTTATCTCTAGATTGCAGGTAAGAAGAAGAAAGAAGCATACCACAATCATCATCATCATCTGTATCCCAGTAGGGGGGAGATGTTGAAGTAATTCCATTCTCCACCTGCTCAGAAGACCTCCATTCAGCCAATGCTTCCCCAGACCTCTGCTGCCCATTTGATATTCCCTCTAATGATCTGCTAACCCCAGACTCCTCACTTGAACTCCCCGCCATTTTTTCACTCCACAACTCCCTACACCCTTCTCCAATTTCGCCTAAAAACAGAAACACAGCCACATCATCAAACTCAGCAATCAGAATTCTTAACAATCAGTCCCTGTGACTTGATTGCATAAAATTGATAAGAAAACGTGAGAACATCTAAAACATCCGGTACAGCTGATAAACAAACTCCTGAGGTTCATAAATTCTAATCGAAAACAATAAATTCCATCAGAAAACTTCATAAAATCCTGAATAAACCCTAACATCATCTTTCAAGAAAATCCTAACAATCAAACTGATAACATGAACTAAATCAAAAATACAACTATATAGAACTAACGTATTGAGATATGTACGCGTAAATATTATATTCCCACCGAATTAGCAAAACCCCTTTTCTGTAAATCCCATGTAAGTCCGATTGAGTTCTTATTCGAATTTCTATATAAATAGAAAAGAAAACGAGAGATCATTCACATGCAAACCCATCAAAGAAAAACCAAACCCTAATAACAGCCAATCCAGATAATCTAAATTACCAGAACAAGAAAGGAAGAAAGATTGACGGATCGAATGATGGGATGAGATATTAAAGAACCTGAGAGCAAAGAATAGGAGTTCTTCAATGGCGATGTTGGAAGCTGATTTTAGGTCTAAGAAAGAGGCGAAGAGCGATAGATACAGAAAACAGAGAAGAGAGAGAGGGAGAGAGAGAGAGAGAGAGAGAGAGAAAGTTAAGAGATTTGAGGTACAAGGAGCAGCAGCAGAGTAAAGGGCAAATAAAAATATTTACCACTTATTATTTATATTTATTTATTAATTTTAATAAAACATATATAAATAGTGTGTTTGTTTTAGACTTTTTATTCTTTTAAATTCATTTATTCCAAAATAAATATAATACTTTTTTCCTTAATAAATGTTTAATGTTTTTTTCTCAATTTATTTGTGTTACAAGATATTAATAGTACTCATTTGTAGGTGTCTGATTCATGGTGTGCATCTCGACTAATCTTTATCAGGTACTGAAATTCACCGTTTCTGATGACCAAACAATAATACTCATTTGTGGATGTCTGATTCATGGTGCACACCTCGACTAATCTTTATCAGGTACTGAAATTCACTGCCTCTAATGACCAAACAATAATACTTATTTGTGGATGTTTGATTCACAGTGCACATCTCGACTAATCTTTATTAGGTACTAAAATTCCCAGTTAGACAAACCTCCAATGACCCTAACGGTTTGTTCTCGAAACCTTTTTTATGAATGAAATGAAAGGAGAGAATGGGTAGAAAAAAAAGAAGAAAAAAACTCGTGTTTTTAGAACTTTTTAGGAGAGAAAATAATGAAAATGGGAGGAAAATAATGATAAGTTTCCTCCCAAAACTTTCCTCCCAAATGTGAGAGGAAACGGGAAGAAATTAAAACATTTTTTAAAATATAAAAGTATCCGATCTTTCATTTTAGATTATATATTTTTAAAGAGTATATCAGTAAAAATGACATCTTTCATTTTAAATTATATAATAGAAATATAATAATTATTTTACTTTTCTTTCCATTTCTTTTCTTCTAAAATTTGAGAACACTGCGTAAAGATGCGTTTGGTTTTCGAAAAATGTTTCTGGATTGAATAAATTAAGGGAATTGGACTATAATAGAACTAGAATTGAATCTCAAGGAATTTGACAACGTGCTTGGTTGGCGGGAAGAATGGAATCTATAAAATGGTTGTATCTGTTTGGTTCAAAGAATGTATTTTTGGAATTGGAATGGAAAACTATAAGTGATCAAAATACCCTTTACGGTTATTTTTGGTTGTGATGGTCGTGATCGCCCGGTGAGTGGTGGGCAGGGTTGGTAGATAGTAATGGTGGTGGGGTGGTGAACGATGGTGGGTCGATGGTGGTGGTCAGTGGATGGTGGTGGTGGTGGTAAGGTAAAATAGTCTTTTTATTCTCAATGGAATTGAAATCATGTGGTACATTGAATGAATGGAGGATTCCTTAATTATGGATTTCAATTTCGTTTGTTACATTTTATTCCACTCTTTAAAGTCCGTTTTGGTTTTAGGATTTGTTATGCTTTGGATTTCTATTTCTGATCAATCGTGCGTTTGGTTTAAAGAAAGTCTGAAATGGAAATCCTGATCTTTCAGTAAAATCCTACAAACATCGGATTTAGAAATCTCATAGGGATAGTTAGTATTTCGCAGGATTTCATATGATTGTTGGTAATAATGTATTAAAATGTGTCAAAAATATTTGTTTTATAATAATCAATTGATAAAAAGGTAATTTGATTATTTTTTTTAATTATTTATAGTTTGTTTTATAAATTATCCATGAAGAATGAAATTCAGTTTCATTCTAAATCCTAAAAACTAAACATGCCAAAGATTTCAAATCGTTCCACGGAATCCAAATCCCTGAAAACATTCTATCAAACGAAATGGAATCTTTGGTATCATTGGTTTGTAGGATTTGGAACGGGATTTTTATTTTCGTAAATACTTGATTGTTACGTAAGATGTGGAAGCGATAGGGCAATTTGATGAAAAGGTCGGGATAGAGATACGATGAAAACAATGAAAATATCTGGGATTTGGGTTTAAAACGACAACCATCTTCAAAGGATTTCTACATCCGTCAATTGTAGGATTTCAAATCCAAACTTTTATTTAACCCAAACATAGGATTGGAATTACAATTGTTCACGGGTGATACGAGCCGTTAGACCCTACTTGTCCAATCCATTGGAAAAAGCGGGCTTGAACATTGTAACATCTCAGGCTAACCGTACCAAATATAGTTTGTTTTGTTCGCACTTGGACTCATGGCTTTAGAACGTGTATGATAGATGAGGTATCAAATCCCTTATAAGGCAACCTTTGCTCCCTTCCCAACCGATGTGGAATCTTAAAATCCACCCCCTTGGGAGCTCAGCGTTTTCGCTGGCATACTAGTTCGGTTCCCCGCTCTTATACCGTCTGTAAGATCTCAAGCTAACAATACCAGATATTGTCCGTTTTTGTCCACATCTGGACTCATGGTTTTAAAACGCCTATGATAGAGAAAGTATCCAGTCATTTATAAGGAAACATTTGTTCCCCTCTCCAAACATTACCTTTCTCAAATGTATTGGTGGGACCAGGCGGGACTGTTAAAGTTAATGGGCTGGCTCGGGAGATTAAAAAAAACCCTGCTCAACCTGTTATATAATTATAATTAATTAAACTTTTTCTATGATTGATATTTAAAAAAGGTTTAGAAGTGGTTTTTGGTTGGACTCTCCCTACCGAGTACCAACCACCTCCCGGATATATGTGATGTATCATATAGTGCGTCTTGAATCTCGATCCGAAATAGGTTGTTAGATATTTTGTTGTTGAAGAATCCGAACTTCGAAGGTTGATAATCCATGAAGAGGAAAAGTCCATATTCTATATTTTGTGAAACTACTTTTTTTCTTACATCGTGTACATTGATATATTATACATTTTTTTTAGTTGAATGAAAATTATGTATTTAAAATGTTTTTACATAACTTTTTCGATATAAATCTTTTAGGCCTGTTGGCAAACCCGACCTGTTTGTATGACAAGTACGAGCAAACTCTCAAGCAGTGGCATAAGGCCATATAAGGGGCTTTTTGATTCACTAAGTATACATATTTTGGGCTTTTAATTTTTAATTCCAACTTTTTTAATCCGCCCCCCGCTCACTGGAGTCCACTAAGCTTTTAATCTAGCCCAACTAAAGTCTAAAAATGTTGATTCTTCATTGCCACATTCCCACATGACCATATCGACCGACAAATTTACGCGAGCAACTTATCAACAAAATTACAATCTTCAGTCTCCATTATTGAAATTACAGACATGTTGATATATCCTCCCTCCCTCGTTGACTACTCTCGAGTGAGTTGAGTCTCGACCTCCAGCCTCTTGCGGTCTCACCCTCTACAGTCTCCAATCTCCATGGAAGAGCAACATGAAGAACCAAATCCGAATGCAAGTGGAATCCCTGTGATTTTAACTTCATCTTCATCAAATAATCCGATTACAGCCCCTAAATTACAGAGTTTTTTTTTTCATCTATATTTCTATTCAAGTTTTAAGATGCTATTGTTTGATTAATGATAAGGTTTAAATTTGTTTGATACTTTCATTGGGTTTAAAATGTTATTACTTGAGCCAATGAGCCTAGCTGTTGCATTTAGAGGCCATAATGAAAAGTTAGATTATGTTAACCTCTAGGGGGGGGGGGGATTTTCTTTAAAGAGTTATTTTGTGTGCTCCTAAATATGCATCATACACATCACCATTGATTCAAAAAGAAAATTTGATCTTATATCAAATAAGGTGAGACAAATAATATGTGAGGAGATTGGTGGTCAAATGTTTTGTTTACTTGTTGACGAAGCACGGGATGAGTCTCATAGAAGAGCAAATGTCTATTGTTTTGAGATTTGTTAATAAAGAGGGATTCACTATAAAGTGTTTCTTTGGACTTGTTCATGTACGTAATACTACAACATAAACGCTCAAGGGTATTGTGGAGGACTTCAAGGCCGCTAGAGATCGACGAGTTTCACTTTGATTAGCAATGTTTGACATTTTCATTTTTTTAAGTATATAATATTTATATACGGCAAATGCAATAAATAAACTCACACACCCTCTTCACCTATGGTGAGGTTTGAACCCCTCACCTCCTAGAAGACCAAGGGCTACGATACCGCTAGGCCAAAGGCCCTTTGGTAACATTTTCATATTTGACGTTTTCATGTCTGACATTTTTATATTTGACGTCTAGTTTTAGAGTTTTACTACGTTTTAACTTTGGATTGTGTATTTTTTTTTTTGTATTTTTGAAAGCATATAATATATTAGGTCCGGCCCCTACTGTTGGAAAGCTTGTGTTCCGCCCCTGCTCTCAAGCTCGCAAAAATGGGACTATAATTTAACTCAAATCCCTTCGAATCCCCAAAAAAAAAAACCAAATACCTAAGAGGTTTGGAAGAGTGAGTTATTTAAAATAAACTCAAAGTGTAGATGAGAATTTCTTCGTTATATTATTGTACTTTTAGTTTATTTTTTATTACAACAACGTTTTTTATAGTGATGATAATCTCTTACCTTTTAAACCGGTTAACTCATTTTTTTTAAATGACTTAAATGAGGTGATGTGAATGACATGTCATTCTGATTACGTGACATAAAAAAACCCTTTCAATAATTTCATCAATTTCCCTCCCGAAGATTCATATCCCACCCATAATATGTTTTTATCCATCTCTTTGAAAAGTTGTTTCAAAAAATTTCCACTTTTATTAAATTGTATGCAGATTAAATATTTTAAAGTAGCATATTTTTTAAACAAATATGATATATTTTTTTTCAAGATAAATATTTTGTTTGTAACAAAAAAAACTTAACACTTATTATTTTCCTTGTTCTAAAAATACATATTTTTAACATTTTTTTTTAAAATGTTAGTAATATAAATTGTGATTTACAAATATGCTTAATAATGTTATATTAATGAATAGTTTAGAATTTTTTAATTTATATATTTATTAAATAATATGTTCAGGTAAAAAATATTTAACACTAAATATGATATATTATTTTCAAGATAAATATTTTGTTTATAAGAAAAGTGACACTTTTTTTTTCTTTGTTCAAAAAGTACAATTTTTTAACACGAGAT